GGAATAAAAACGAGATGGTTTTAAAGTGGTTGTTCAAGTAATTGATATTTCTAAAAAAGTGAATAAAGCTGGTGCTGAGGGAGTAAATAGTGTTTTACAGACTCAAACAGAAATCCTAGCCCATTTAGAAACGTCCTCACCTTCCTTACACGGTACACATTAATCTCCCCATGAATGGAAAAAAAAGCCTGTACACTTGCTTGCATTGCTAGGATCTTACCAGAGACCTTGTGATGTGTTTTCTGTGCTGTGAGTGCTGCTCAGTTTAGTACAACGATGAATACTAATCAATGGATTTGTTGTATGCTCTGCCTTGCCAAGATGGATTAGAGCATGGTGACAGTCAGTCTAGGAGATGCAAAAAAGCAATGAATTTTAGACCAGTCTCCATTATGTTTGCAAACATCTGTACTTTGCTTATCACATAAATTGATAGCATAGATAATGTTTTTTTCCCCTAAATGTGTGCCTACTGATGTGCACTCTGCATATCTAACACTATGTAATGTGTTTATTCCATGCTGAAAAGAGAAGAAAGAAAACACAACTCAGCCTTCTTCAGGTGTGCTCACCCATGAATAAGTAATAAACCTTTACTTGTTCCATTGCAGCCTATGCATGTTGCATGTCCCCACCTGAACTACTATATAATGTGTGATTCTTGTCTATGTTTATATTCTCATCCAAAATACAGTGATATCCTTAAGTGAAATTGTATATTATATCTATGTTTTAATAACCAAAATATTGCATTTACAGAATTATTTCTTAAAAAAAGAAAAAAAAAAACAGAAATTGTCAAACAAATTTGTGGATTTATGAATGAAAGTAACACTGGGACATTCATTTAGAGGTACAAGGGTTATTTTTCTTAATATTCATATACATTTATTTTTGCACAAAAAATATTAAGTTATAAAGATAAATTGCCAAAAAGACTGCAAAATAAAAAACTGATAGAACTGTCCAGTTAAGGCCACTGTAACATCATTACTTTGACTATTTGTCAATGCTTACAGAATACACAGACAGACCATAGGTGATTCAGACATTCCAGAGGTCACCAGTTCATAGGCTTCTTTTTGGAAATTCATTTAAGTGCTGTAAATTTTTAAAATTTTAAAAATTTTTAAAAGGCATTATACTGTATCTTCCAAAGTTGGTGACAGCACAAACAATTTCAATTCCTATTAAAAGAAGCAAAGTATTCATAGGCTTACAGAAAAAACCTTCTGATGAAAGAATCTCTGGCAATCTACTACCCTCCCAGTAGTGATTCAATATCAATTAGGACCTGAACCCATCTACCTACGCTCCACGTGCTTAGAAAGATGGTCAGGACACAGATGAGATATGCAGCCATAGCAGATAAAATCCTGTTTTATATGGCTTTATGTTTCATGGTCTGAATTGATCAAAATGGGCCTCTGTTCTTTACTACTGTCTTTTATTTTGCCCAATTGATGACATACCAAAACTAATTTAAGACCGTTCATTTTACTTTAAATTAAATCTAAGTCAGAGATATTTAGATCATTTGTTGCTCTTTACAAATAACTTACACCAACATAAACCTAAAATCATGCAGTTGATGTCATGGCCCTTCACATATTAACTAAAAATGTTTGATGTTTGATGTTTGATGTTTTGATGTCTTACCACTCAAAATTGTCACTATGAAAGCTGAGCTAAGATTCATTTGAAAGTATTCTTTTCTTACATATTGTAGTTAATACCAAACTGGCACATTTAAGCCTTTTTCATGCTGTGTCATTTCCACTTGATCTAGCGTTATTGCTAAGTTGAAAGCACTTACTGAGCTGATAGTGAAACAGACCACTCAGTTTCTAATTCTAGGACAGCCACCTGCTGCTTATTAATAGAGGACCAGGGCTTCCCGATGCATGAGCAGTTTGAAATTGATGGATGGAATTGAACCCGTAGGTCTGGACTTGTTTCCGTTTAAAAAGAAGAGAGAGGATTTTTGCTTCTATGCTTTATCTTAGTCCTTTTCTTCAAAGACAGTACAACAGTGCCTAGATTTTTTCATCTGTACAGATTTTAATTGGGCATATAGCCAGAGACCCATCCGTTTTCTAACTGCATTATCCAGTTCAGGGCCATGGGGGAGACAGAGCCTATCCCCTCAAGCAACTTGCACAAAACAGGAGATACATCTTGCGTGGGTCACCAGTCCATCACAGGGCACATACGTCATACTCGTCACCTCAGATGAGTGGTGGGGAAAGATAGTATTCAGTCATTCAGTGCCAGTTACCATGGTAATTAATTTGACAGGAGTCTTGTACCACCTGGAGGCAATTATCCACCATGCCCGCCTCAGGTTGTTCAAGACTACATTCCTGTAAGCTGTAACTTGGCAGTGCTCAAGAACTGTATCTTAAAGCTCACTGCAGGTTCTTTGTTTGCTTCCATGATTCTAGACCTGCACTGCCCTGGCTTTGCTCTCTGGATTCTCCCGTGGTGCTTTGTCCTGTGTCCCTCGGTCTTGAGCTTTGCTTGTCCCTGTTTAAGGCTGGACTGTCTTTGCCTGGACCACATTGCCTGTGCTCACCTTTGCCGCGATAGCCTGTCTGTGGTGCTTACTGTAAACAACGTGCTGTGTGCTCATGCAGCTGCCTGCCTGATTGCC